CTCTATTTAATCTCAAAAATTTTTGTTTATACCCAAGGCCCTGTTTGTTTTCAGAGATAGAATGGAGGGGATTAATAGTGAGGGGATTAATAGTGAGAAATTGTTAAATTATTTTTATATAAAATAATAAAACAAATAAAAAAATATAAAAATTAAACATTAATATTTTTAAAAAAATTCTCAATATATAAAAAATAAAAAAAATAAAAAAAATTTCTAATCCTCTCACTATTTTTCTAATACCATCTCTACCTCCTCACTATGAATCCCTCTTCCAAGGGTATTAGTAATACCAAAGTATTAGTAGTCCCAAGGCTATCTCTCAAAACAAACAAGGTATTAAAAATACCAAGATATTAGTAATCCCAACCCCCTTCCTATAACCCCAAACAAACGGGGCCCAAAAGTCCTGTGCGTGTTTTCTTCTTCTCTTTAATTGCGCCTTTGCTCTTGTCTTTTTCTTTCTCTTCCTAATTTTGGGTGACCGGCGACTACATTTACCTTCTTCTCTTTCTCTTTCTAATATACAGTCATCGGCAACCGGCAACAACCATCAATTGAGGTTTATCGACAACCACCGACCATTGACTCTTTACTTCACCCTCATCGACGACGAAGGAGACGAGTAGATCTACTCAAATCTAATGTAGATATAGATTAACATCATATCTGAATAAATCTATAGCAGATTCGGCTAGATCTAAACCAAAAATAATTGTTTGGAGTACAATCCTCTCTTTATATCTGTCTTTTTCCTTCGATCTCTCAGTTTTTCTACCTTTTCTCTGCTATCTCTTTTCTTGTTTTAACAAAGAAAATTTTCAAGTTTTGAACAAGTTGCTTTTTGAGTATTAGTTACAGGCAGTGAAAACTGTAAAATTTTATAGTTTTAGCTTTTTTGATATTGAAATGAATCATACTTTAAAATTGTAAAATTTTGCAGTGTCATAACATGCTTTGAAACTGTAAAATTTTACAATTTTATAACATTTTTTTAGTTTGATTAATAAGAATAAATGATTGATAGAATCATATTTTGAAATTGTAATAATTTTATTGTTTTAGAGTCTGCTTTTCAGTTTGATCATTACTGAAGATTATTTGCTGAAAACGCTACAAAAAATGAAAAATAACATATTTTGTTTTTCATTGTTGTTGTTTATTGTTGTTATGTTATTTTTTTTAATTTTTTTTTCAGTTTTTCAATATTTAACATTTTTTTTCTTTAATTTGTCCATTTATTTTTTTCAGGTAAATATTCTAGATATTTCGATAGGTTTTTGACGATATTGTTGACGTCCAACGAACATTCTAGACATTTCAGCGACTTCTAATAATATTTAGAACATTTTGACGATACTTTAGCATATTTTCGGTGATACTTCGACTATTTCTCGGTGATGTTGAACATTTTAGTAAGTCTTCGATGATCATCTGACAGCAATTTAGTGTTGGTGGGATGTAACAGTATCTTTAAATTAAAAAAAAAAGAAGATATTTTAGTAAAAGTAAAAAATATGTAAAATTAATTGGTATAAGTATTTTATTTTTGAATTAAATGAATTTTGAACTTTATATATATATATATATATATATATGAAATCTACCAATAAATTTCAAAAAGTTTAAAAGTTTAGTGAACCTAATCAGCAAAATAAGGCTTATGCCAATGGCCCTATACTTGAACTGTCCAATCATTGAAACTTAACTCTACCAATATATATCAATGCTACAAAGAAAAAAGTGTACTTATTTTATCTTTTTATTTTTTTTGGATCACATCAATCAACATCTCCTCTTTACTTTTTTTACACATAATATAAAAAAAGTCAAAAAGTGCACTTATTTAGTCTTCCCAAACTAGGCCTAAATCGTCGGGTAGTAATTATTTTAGTTAAAAAAAAATTAAAAAGTCATTATAAATTATCACATCGTTCTTTTTATTTTTTTACATATCTTTTTATAAAAGGTCAAAAAAATTACTAAAATAACTTATTCCCAAACGAGTTCTAGCATTTAATGTATATATTAAAGAATTTAAATTTGTTTACGCACTTTAAAGTCCATAAACAAAACATACTTCTTGATTAACTTAAAATATTAAAGAGTTAATTACTTAAAGATTCCATTTGTAAATGTTATGATAACTTTGGTCATATTTAAGATTTTCGAACCAATAAGTTCTATTTAGTAAAACTGAGAATATTATCAGTTTTTTTCAATTTTTAAAATTAAGAATATTATCAATTTTGCATAGTAATGTTCCAGATAATTATTTTATTAACTAATGGAGAAAAAAAAATAGAGCATGAGATTAAACGTTTTTACCCTTCTACTTATTGATATAATTCAACTATCTAATAAAACCGAGAATATTAACAATTTTTTTCAATTTTAAAATTGAGAATATTATTAGTTTTTTCATGTTTAAAGCTTTGTTTTTGTTTTTGTTTTAGTTTTACACATCAATGTTCCATCACCATACTTCTTTACAGACACAATTTTTTTAGTTTTGCACAAAAAGATAATTCAGTTTTTTTTTTTTTAAATAATTAGTTTTCTCAATTTGAAAGTTGATATTTTAAAGTTTTAAAAATCAAAATAAATTTTAAATCATCATGTTTCTTTATAGATAATAATAAATGATGAACAATCATTGTTTGAAAGGCAATTTCGACTATTAAAAATTTAATGAGACTTGAAAAATCTAAAAAATCTTAGTTAAGACTAATGAAGTATAAGTTCATAAATTAAAATTTGTATGTAAATGTCCCAATATTAAAATTCACAATTTTATGCGAGGATTAATACACTTATTTGGTGGTTTATTATTTTTAACAAAGTAAAATTTGTATTTATTTATTTTTTGAATTAAAATAATAAAAAGTATAAGATTATGATAAAGAATGACACTGTTGAATAGATAAAATTTAGAGGAATTTATTAGAAAATCTTTTTTCAAGTGTTTGTATACCAATTAGTTCATAAGATATTCTTATATTTTAATAAGTCCTATTATTTAGATATTTGATCTACCAAATCATAATTCTCATATTTAAAGTATTTTATGGACATTTATATCTCTACAAATATTTTTTGAACGGTTAGCAATTTGGTAACGTGAACATTCATATTTTACAATGTGAATATTCACATTGACATGTTAACATTCACATTGATGGTGTAAGCATTCACATTGATAGTGTGAACATTCACATCATGGAACATTCACACTGTAAATGTGAATGTTATTAAGAATATTTTGGTAACTATGTCACCCATAAGACTTATTAAAAAATAAGAAAATAATGTAAATTAAATGAAACATAAGTAGGTAAAAAGAGATTTATAAAAAATGCCCCTAAAATTTATTCAAATTGAGAAAAAAAAGAAAAACAAAAAAAGAGAGCATTGATTTTGAATTAACGAGGCATGTTGACCAGTAATAGCAATAGATAGTAAAAAAAAAAAAAGTAATAGTAATACAAAAAAAAAATTATTCTTTTAATTTTAGGATGCTTTGAAAAAATGGTTAAAAATTATTTTTTAATTTTTTTTAACTTTTTTGTGAGAAAGAAAATTAAGTTAAAAATTAAGAAGTGACTTTTAATCCACTTCTCAAAATAGCCCTCGTTCCTCAATCTCACCTAATGATGTGAAATTAGGCAGTTAAAAAATGTAATTGAAATTGAAACACCATTAAGGCCTTGTTTGTCATGTACTAAAAGAATTAAAAAGTTAAAAAGTCACTATCTTATTTAAATTATATCATCTTATTTAAATTACATCAAAAAAAATTAAAAAATATATTTATTTAAAACATCCAAAATCACTTATTTAGGACATTCAAACCACCGCCAGAGAATATAGCACATAGGCGTAGAAGTGAGCCATACCATGTGTATGTGTACGTGTATGTGTATGTCTATGTGAGGTTGCAAACCGACGGCGCGTCCCTCCTTTTCCTATGTTTTTATTTCTTCTTCCCTAAGATTCGTCTTCCACGCCGAGCCTACTTTCGGTAATTCACCACCCCAGCCGAATAAATGTTAGCCGAAAAATATGAATTCTAAATAAATTATTAAATTTTTTATTAAGTGATTATTTGGGATATTGTACTTTTTATCTTTTTAAACTAAAAAATTGAGGAAGAAAATATGGATATTTGGATTAACTTTTTGACTTTTCATAGAAAAATGTGTAATAAAAAATTGTAAAAATTGATTTGTAGGAAAAAATTATGATTGAAAGTTGTGTAGCCGTAATTGTTGACTTTTGGTGAATAGTGTTAACTTTTTAACTTTTTAAGGAGTTGTTTGAGATGACCTAAATAAGTACACTTTTTGTCTTTTTACGAAAAGATGTATAAAAAAATAGAGAGGTGATATGGTAGAAAAAAAATAAAAAGATGGATTATTTTGTGTATGTCAAACTTGGCCTAAATCTCTGACATTAGTGTCTGATCTACATCTTTGAATTTGTGTGAGTTCTACGTTCATATAAAATATTTGATATAAAATTTGATAATTTATTTAAAATTCTTAACTCATATTAGACACCATAAATAAATATTATAAAAATAAATAAAATATATCACATTAATTAAAAAATAAAAAATATTTTTTTTCAAAATCCCTATTATTAGGCCAAGTTTGGGAAGACTAAATAAGTGCACTTTTTGTCTTTTTGGACTAAAAAATTGAGGTTGAAAATATGGATGTTTGGGTTAACTTTTTGACTTTTTATTGAAAAATGTGTAATAAAAAATTATAAAAATTGATTTGTAGAGAAAAATTTGAATTGGGAGTTGTGCAGCCGTAATTGTTGACTTTTGGTGAATAATATTAATTTTTTAACTTTTTGAGTAACTTTTTGACTTTTTAACTTTTTTGAAACATCCCAAACTTGGCCTTATTCACTCCCACATTACTGCACGAAAACGCTTCTTCGTATCGTGCCACCAAATCTCTCTCGCTCGCGCTCGCTCTCTCTCTCTCTCTCTCTCTCTTTCTCTCTCTCCGCGTCTCTCTTCATTTTCTTTTCTCCACCGCTAACAGAACCGCCTTCTCTCTCTCTCTCTCTCTCTGTGGCTTTGTTCAGGGTTAGGGTTAGGGTTAGGGTTTCTTCCTTAGGCGTGTCCACTTCGACATCACTATGTTGCTGAAAACCCCCAACTTTTCCAATTTACCCCTCCAAAGACTTTTTAGGTCAAGCATGGCTTGAATCCCACCTCTTTCTGGGTAATAATAATAATTACTCTTTTTTATTCCATTCCATTCCATTCCATTCAATTTCACGCACACACACATACATACATACCCTGCTTCTCTCTCTCTCTCTCTCTCTATATATATATATATATATATTTGTTTCTTCCTTAGGCGTGTCCACTTCGACATCACTATGTTGCTGAAAACCCCCAACTTTTCCAATTTACCCCTCCAAAGACTTTTTAGGTCAAGCATGGCTTGAATCCCACCTCTTTCTGGGTAATAATAATAATTACTCTTTTTCATTCCATTCCATTCAATTTCACGCACACACACACATACATACATACCCTGCTTCTCTCTCTCTCTCTCTCTCTCTCTCTCTCTCTATATATATATATATTTGTTTCATATTTCATTGAGGCTTACTGTTTTACTTGAAGAATTTTCCTGATTGTTTGATGGGTTTCAGCAATATATACTTCTATGTGTATGAAATTTGTTGAGTATTATACGGTAAAGTTATTGCGAGAGTTCAAAAATTACTCTTATTTGTTATATTATGAGATTGCTGTGTTCTAATTTGTTGCCCTTTCAATCCTGCAAACTCTACTTTGGTGTCCCCGTTGGCCTTTTGAATCAGAGTGCTGCGATGATTCAAAGTTTTCAAAATTTTTTTTTTTTATCGACTTTATGGAATTTAGGGTTTTCTACAATTTGTCTGCATTTCCTAATCTTCGAGAGGTCCAACCGGTTAATTTAGTTGGCTTCTTTTAAGTGAGTTTTTATGGGTGTGAGTTTTTATGGGTATTTTAGATTCATGAAGGGAGATATGCTTGATAATTGGGAGCTGAATCTTGGTCCAGGTTGAGTTTGCTCAAATATATGTTTCTCTATGGCTTGTTGTGGATGGGTTTGTGTAACGTGATATTGTATATTAGTACAAGGCATTTCTGAGATTTATGGATGTTACTTTCTCTTTTCCTTCCATTTTCTCTTTGTCATGGGTTGATTCATATGTTACAGTTTTGGGGAACCAAAATAGTTTTCAAGTTATTTGTTTCCATTTATTTTTTTATTGTTAACCTCCATGCGTGGACACTGGGAAATAGTTTTGGGGGTTTAATTTTGAAATAGTAATTTATATGCAGGTGCTATTTAGTTCTTATAAAGACTGAAGGGGAAAGAAATGCCTCTAAAATTGATTCTTTTCTGTAGCATTTTCAAGCTTATGCATTTGCGAATTTATTATTTTTTGTGTTGGTTGATATTCCTCTTTTTCTATATTGAGTGATTTTCTGTAGCATTTTTTTTTCTTTGGGCTGGGCTAAGAAAAATGATAAGATAATGAATAGGTATTTGTCAAAAACAAAAAACCAAAATCATTTATTTTTGGTTAGTTATCCATAAGAAATGAACAAATACAAGTTATTTCATTTACTTTTCCTTACCTTTATCCAAACATAACTTTAGGGGGGAATGAAAGAAGAATTATCTTGTCTACATTTTCTCTCATGTGTATTTTCTTCCTTCCTTTACTTATTATATATTGGAGTTTTGTGTTTTCTTACTCCATGAAATCCGTTTCAGTGGTGGCAGTCCTGGGATGGAAATGTATAATATCTCTGAATATGGAAATGCAGAAGCTTACCTGGTAATTCCTCAGCAATTGATTCTCTTTAAATAAAAAAATTAGGGCCTATTTTGAACTGTTTTTGCAGGGATGAGTACATGTTATACATATCTGTGATTATGTTGATAGTAGAACATAGAATCACATCTCATGTCTTGGCTTTTAGATTCAAGGCACTGAGTCAAACCCAAATTTAACAAGTCCGTCTCTTCAACAACTTGACACCATGTATACTGAAGCGGCCCCAGAGTTTATCGTTGAACAGGGCTTGTATTACCCTACTGCCACCAATTATGGTTATGTCTGTACAGGTAATTTTTTACACCCTATCCTGTTTTAGATTTGGATAATGACATGTCATGCCTCATTTTTGTGTTGCTTTGTATGAATGTGGTCAGGATTTGAATCACCCGGTGATTGGGATGACCACCATAGGATTTTTGGTCTGGATGGTCAAGAAGTTCAGTACGCGGTCCGTATGCTCTCTTAATTTTTGTTTTTGAATCCAATGTCATATTGTTGTGATTTTTCTCAATATACATTTTTCCTTTTTCAGGGTGCGCAAACTGAAAGTTTGCCATATGTATATTATACACCTGGCTATGGATATGCACAGACTCCATACAACCCATACAACCCTTACATTCCTGGTGCTATGATAGGAGTTGATGGCCCATTTATGGGGACGCAACAATATTACACCATCCCGCCTTACGAAAACCCTGCGTCTTCACCTGCATACTTCAACATGGTTGTCCAACCTGGGCCAGAGGCGATCTCAAATAGTAGAGCAGAACCCTTCTTAGATACTGGTGCATTTACTGCAAATAGAGCTGATGGCCCAATTCTAAAAAATAGCCTTTCTTCAACGTCTGCAACTTTTACACTGACCCCCCCTAAGCCTGCTTCAAATCAGACACGTTCCTTTGCTAGGGTATCAGAAGGACCTAAAGCTAGTGCTGAACCAAGTAAGCTACCAGCGCATGGAAATGTTACTTCTAGTAGTTTTTCCAGTCTGGCATCATCACAAGTACTACAGGTATCATCTTTTGATTTATTCAGATAGATTGTTTTTTCTTTGAGAAAGCGTAGAAGGTGCACATGCATTTTTTTTAATAAGCAGAGTCACTCTTGGTTGTGTTGTGCTATGGTGCGCACACATTATTGGATCATTATAGTAGCATTATGGTTATGGGTACAGCTACCCCTCCCATATTTTCTGATCTGTTCAACAGTGGAAGAGGCAATCAAAAGGGTCTTCTCTTTTTATAAAGAAAAAAACTGTGAAGATACAATATTGCATCCATGCTTAATTGAAGGGTATTTTTCTTGAAGAATATGACACCCACATCCATTTTTTCTTTTCCTCCAACCATACAAGTAGGAAGCCTACAATCCCTTTTATAGGGGATCCATTTGCCTTCCCTCCTCCCTCTCTTGCCTAGTTGCCTCCTCTCTCTCATCTGTAGCTCAATTTTTGCAATCACAGTTTTTTGTTGCTTCTAAGCATTATTTTGCCAGGTTTCTTTTCTAACTTCTGTGTTTACAGGGTAGGGGTGCTCAAGCTGTGGATAACATTTCACATGGGAAGGCTTTTTCTCATCGTAACCAATTAAAAATGGCTCTTTCTTCTAGTAATGGCTTGTCCAACTTTGGAACAAGTGCTCACGGACGGGCCTCAGTCGAAAAGATACGGTCCAAGATCCACTATGGCAGAGCCTCGAATGATTTTAATGGAAGTCCAGATTCATTGGCTGAACAAAATCGAGGCCCTAGAACCAACAAATCCAAAAATCATTTGGCTGTTAAAGCTTACACAACTAGAGCTGGAGAGAGTGATGCACAAGGAAACATCATTATCTATACTGATCAGTATAACAAGGATGATTTTTCATTAGATTATGTGAATGCAAAGTTTTTTGTAATCAAATCATACAGTGAGGATGATGTGCACAAGAGTATTAAATATAATGTCTGGTCATCTACACCCAATGGAAACAAGAAGCTGCAGAGTGCATATGAAGATGCCCGAAGAATAGCTGCTGGAGAACCAAGAGGCTGTCCTGTCTTCCTGTTCTTTTCTGTGAGTTGTATTCCACTGTCTACAAAAATTTGCTTGTTAAGTAGCAAGTTTTGTTTTTGCACATATTTGGTTTCTGTTTTTCAATTACTTTCTGAGAATGAAAGTTCTCAAGATTTTTATTTTATTTTTTTCTTCTAAATGCAGGTGAATGCAAGTGGCCAGTTCTGTGGTGTTGCAGAAATGACTGGACCTGTTGACTTCTATAAAGATATGGATTTCTGGCAGCAAGATAAATGGAGTGGAAGCTTTCCTGTTAAGTGGCACATTATAAAAGATGTACCAAACCCCAACTTTCGGCACATCATTTTAGAGAACAATGAGAATAAGCCAGTAACTAACAGCAGAGATACACAAGAGGTTTGTTTTGTTTTTATACCTGATACACTGTTCACTTGTTACTTGTTGATTATGTACCTATTAAGTTTACAACTTGGTCATTGCTGCATGCATTTTTGGCCTGACTAAAGATTGAAACCCTTGAAGTAGCTTCACCTGGTAACTTTGGTTTTGCTGGTTTGTTTGGTGATTTTCATGGAATATATTTGATTGAATGCACAATTTTTAATTGTTGTGATCTCAAAAGATTATCAGGGTTGGAAAGGAAAAAGATAACGACTACATGATAACTAAGAATAGCGTAAATAGTCTAGAAGGATAAATAGAACTACCTTGTGAAAAATCACCAGTGTATGGATTGCCTTACTCCTGAAGAAGTGGCTTAATTAATGTGGGTACTTGTATGAAGTCCAATACGTGGCAAGTCCTATGGGTGCCACATCACTAAAGCCCCGCCCGCTCGTGGTATATCAGTAAGGCACCACAAGGGCATATCATATGTCTGATACATGGCGAGCCTACGGGTGCCATGTCACCAATACCTGCTTTCATGGCAAACTGCCAAGGCCCCATGCAAAACCAAGACCGTGTGCTTAGCCTAAACGGGAGCATATACAAGCTCAAATATGAAGAGCCCTGCAACAGGCAGCATCATTACCCCGCAGGCCCATGGTCCTTCATACCTTGCACGCAATGGCCCCGTAGTCCTTCACACCTCGTTCCAAGACCAAACAAAAATATAATCAGCCCTTAGCTTTACTTGGACTTGGATTGATAAGCCCATTCTCCTACTTGATCACCTAGAAGTGAGCCCTTGGCTTCTCTAAACATTGAGATGGGCCCTCGTCCATTCACCTACTTGGTTGCTTGGGTTGGGAGTAGGACCCAGGCACTATCGCTTGGGATCATCAGAGGATTTGGACTGGAGGCTGAGGTCATAGGATCGCCGAGATGGTTGTCTTCTTGCTAAGACATCTCCATCTCGACCAAGCTTACAAAAGAGGCAACAACGACCTTATACTCAGGCCACCTGATACATATGTGATACGTTGCTCTCCGCCTATCACAAAATGTTGCTCTCCTGTCTGCCATCAAGCCATAGACGACAGTAGGGCTTATATCACTTCCGGCAGAGTTGGGAAGAACGAGCCACTTGTCCAACAGGTTGCTTGGGCTCCAATACTCTTGCGGCCTATATACGTATCATACATGCAACAGGCAAACAAACTTCACTTCACCACAACACAACTCCATAACTCTTCACACATATAAGTCTTACACTTAGACACTCCCTCTCACACTCTACACTAGTGTTCAAGGTCCATCACTGCCAACCTCTCCCTCTCTAAGCTTGCCTTGGCCTCCTCCTCTCCAACTCCGGTGATCTCAGGTCATTGAAATGCCCACCAACTTCCCAGACCATCTCTAACCACACCTCTCACCCACAATTAACATTGTAAAGCAACTAATAAATGTATGGTTGCAATTATTCGTTTGGCTACAGTCCTACTTACCTACAATATCCTGGCAGAGTATGTCTTTGGATTGTAAGCGTTCCAAGCTGCCACCCATGCTCTTTTTAGGCCTTAATTTTAACCTGAGCCCCCTCAGTTTTTACAGTATTACTCCTTGTTGACATGGTCTTGGGGCTTTATTACACTTGATGTCATAGCTTACATATGGACAAGGTGATTTAGAAGTTCTACATGTACTGCCAGTGTACTTTTTTTTTGCTTTTGTCCTTTTGTTTCTTCTCTGTTTCCTCCCCGAACCATTTTTGCATTTGGCCTCATCTTGATTCTCGAAGCCAGTTAACTAGTCAATTTAATTCACTCCCCTGTGCCCTTCTAATATTCTTGTGGACTAAATTTTTTTTTTTTTTTGTGTGTGTGTGTGTGTGTGTGTGGAGATGATGTGATCTATAGAATCAAAGTAGGTTTGCATTTGATATATTGCGTGATCAACTAATACCCGCAAAGTTAGGAAAATTTTATAGAATAGCCATAAGGCCAGCGATGCTTTACAGGATAAAATGTTGAACAATTAAGAAACAACACATTCATAAAATGAGTGTAGTTGAGGTGAGAATGCTTGGATGGATGTGGTAAGACTAGGAAAAATAGAATTAGAAATGAATATATTTGTGAAGTGGTAGGCGTTGCTCCAATTGAGAAGATAAAGATGTGGGAAAATAGACCAAGTTTAGTCATGTACAACTAGGACTTGTAGATGCAACAATAAGAATACTGATATGATCAAAATGTTATGGGGACGGAAGACCTAAAATGACATGGATTGTGGTAGTGAAAAAATATGATACGAATTTTTTAATTTAACTGAGCATATTGCCATAGTCAAAGCAAAATGGTGAAGAAAGATTTATGTAGTTGAGCCTACTTGAGTGGGATGCAAGGCTGAGTTGTTTTAGTTTGGTTTGGTTAGTACATATAGATATTTGCATTTGACATGAAGAGTTGATAACTTTAACATTTGTTACACGACATTTTTGCCTTGAATATTCGAATCTTGATGAAAAATTATTATTGTGTTTGTTTTGACTTGATGATGTGGGATTATGAGATTATTTTGATTGCTCTTTGTTGTTCTACTTGGATTGAGGTAACACATTTCTGCTCCAGTATGAAGGTTTTTTTTTTTTTATAAATATTTTTTGTTTATTTGCAGATAAGGTATAAGCAAGGTATCGAGATGCTTAAACTTTTCAAAAATTACACAATGAAGACATCTTTACTTGATGATTTCATGTATTACGAAAATCGACAGAAGATCATGCAGGAGGAGAAAGCTAGGTTACTCATCAAGAGCTATGGAAGCTCGTTCCTTATTCCTGCTTTAGATCCTCCCCGGAAGCAAAATTTTCTGGTTGACATGCCTTCTAGTGCAGATGAAAAAACTACCAAGCCTAATGAGCTTAATAGCTTGGACAAGACTGTGGGCTCTGTAATTGAGCCGATCCACATTGCGGACAAAGCAAAGCATGATGACGTATTGTCACTAAAGATTGGCTCACTTGCTATCAACCCAAAGCAGGCTGAACCTAAACCTTTAGAGGTTCCCTCTAATGTTGCTACGGTAGTGGATACTAAACCAGTTGATGTTGTCACAGTAGGGTCGATGCCTGTTAGAGTTAATGGTTTTGCCAACTCTTCTGGTTTCCTTACTGTTGGTACTATCCAATTTGATTCTAAAGCATTACAGATTGACGATGCAAGTGTTGTTAAAAGTGAATCTCAACCTTGATGACGCAGTGGCTTTACCCCAATGATCTGGAAGTTATCTGTTTCAGCAGAATGCAATGCAATGCAATGCAATGTCATGCACTGTAAACTTGAGGTGTATCTTCTGGGTTATAGTTATGGTTGAAGGTCATGTGTAATACTCACTTTTATTTCATCTTTGTTATTTTCTTTGAAGGTTCTACCTTAGGTTTGCTGTGAAGGTTGTTTTGTGGGTGCTAATGGCGGTGTTGACTCATTTCAAGTGGAATACAGTGTGTAAACCTTTCAATTTTCCCCCTTCCATCAATGAAGATACTGATAAATATATTTTTCTTGCCAATAAACCATTTGTTCTTGCAATGTCAGTTCTCTCTCACACTGTTGTGCACACCTTCAAAGAAATAGCCTTTTAGGGCATTCATTGATATGGGTGATTCCATTTTCTTTTTTCATTCATGTTGAGATGATTGACCTGTGTGAAATCACGTGTTATTCCAAGCTGCTTTTAAAAGAATAGTTTTGGCAGAGTATTAAAAGGGTATAGTCGAATATATGGATAGGTTAAAATTATCTCTAAATTAATCAGCACTTTTTGATTTCATTTTTATTATTTTTTTGGCATACAACATATTAATACACAAATTCAGAAAGGCCGTTGAAGGTATCTTTGATATAGTGGTTAGCATGATGTAAATGTCATTTAATTTCAAATGCTTGCCTCTGCTAATAGGGACACACCTGCATAACTGTGTTTGGAATCAAATCCTCTTAAATAAGAGATCTGTGAAAAGGAAATTAATGGATTCTGTTTTGTTGTTAGTAAATGAAATTTAATCAAAGGAAATTGCTTTTCAACAAAATTAATTTTGCCCTTAAATGGTACAAGTGACAAAAATGTAGATAAAAAAAAAAAAAAAAAAAACTCATTTTCTTTCCCATAAAATCCGGTTATTCCAAAGGCACTTATGTCCTGTTGATAGGTTAGGGGCACATGGAATGGGCATTGTCCGTGTTGTTGATCGTAAAGGAGGGGATAGGGTGCAAGAGGGCGATGGTGGGGTTAGAGTTAAGAGGAATGAGGAAGGGAGTTTAAAATTGAAAGAGATGTGGAGTGGTATGGAGATTACGATGGGAAAAGGGAACTCATTTTCTTTTTGACATGTTTTTATGCAAACTAATCTATCTATCTATCTATTATTATATAAAGAAAATTAACTTTTTAATGATACGATTTTTAGGAGTTTCAAACTCTCATTTTAATTTTTTTGATATTTTTAATTTTAAATAATTATTTTTATTTGATAATCCACATCAGGAAAAGAAGGGAAAAAATAAATTGTTTTACTCATGTAAAGAGAATCTTATACTCTTATCCTATTTAGTGAGGAGTCTTGTGAGCGTTTCAATATCTCATACTAATTTTCTTGATTTCCTTAATTTTAAATAATTAAGAAAATTTTTATTGACTAACTTTTATTTGATAATCCTATATCCAAAAAAAGAAGAAAAAAGTAAATTGTTTAGGTTTGAAGCTTTTATTATAGTTTAGGTTGATGGTTTCACCAAACTGTACGGTGAAAATATGCCTCTCTAATAGGAGGTCGCCTTATATAATTTTAAATTTTTTTTTAATAATTAATGTTATTATTATTATTATAATAAAAGAGTTTCGAAATTTGGAGGCCGTTACCCATCTCTCCCAATTGGGTCTATCTTGCTTACATGACTACAATTAATTATATTTTTAAAGCAATATTTTGCTCCAAATGCAATGATACAAGTTAATTCCACGATTATGACCACATGGATGACAATGTAACAAGGCACACGTCAGAGAGGAAAAAGGCCAGTTAATTAATTTTGATTTATTTTCAATTTTTATTAGCAACATTCTAAACAAATTAAAATTCGATTTACTTTGAGCAAGACTATCATTTATAATCACGTAATTCTATTATATTTAATTTTTAAAAATAAATAATATATATAATTTTATAAATAGATCATATATTTTTATTAAAGATAAATACATTGAAATCACATAAACACGACTTTAGAATGAATTTGATTTTTTTTTTTTAATATGCATATGAGTTTATAAAATGATCGAGTATGATAAATTTACCAACCTAAACTATGCCTCTCTAATTCCCGTTGGCTAGTTTTCATTTACCTTTTATTTTACAATCGCATATCAAAAAAAGAAAGAAAAAGTAAATTGTTTCACTTACATAAAGTGAATCATATACTCCTATTTATATAAGCAAAATGAGATTTTTAGTGAGAAACCTTATGATCAATATCTCATACTCATTTTTTTGATTTTCTTAATTTTAAACAATTAAGAAAAACTCCATTGGGTAGCTTCTATTTAATTTTTATTTTACAATCTCACATAGTTTTGATTTTAAAAATAATTTTGTATGAGTTTTTGAAATTCTCATAATATGTAAATTTAAAATAATTACAATCTGGTCCAAACTCTCATTCTAAAATTATTAAATTTTCTTAATTTTAAGCAATTAAGAAAATTCTCATTGCTTAGCTTCCAATTACCTTTTATTTTACGATCCCAAATCGAGAAAAAAAAGAAGAAAAAGTGAATTGTTTCGTTTACATAAAGTGAATTTTATACTCCAATTTATATAAATTATTGAAATTTCTTAATTTTAAATAATTAAGAAAATCACTATTGGTTAGCTTCTATTTAATTTTTATTTTACAATCTCATATCGGGAAAAGAAAGAAAACATGAATTGTTTCACTTATATAAAGTGAATCTTATGCTCCTATTTATATAAACAAAAGAAATTTTTTAGTGAGAAACCCTATAATCAATATCAATTTTTTTTTTTTTTTTATGTGTTTAAAAACACATGTACAATACTCCTAACGTATCACCTGTGTTATGTGGAGGTGCAATGTGAAGGTACTTTTGTAAACACAATTTCAATCTGCAATCCAATGTGCATATCTATTTAATTTTTATTTTACAATTTCACATCGGAAAAAAAAAAGAAAAAATGAATTGTTTCACTTATATAAAGTAAATCTTATACTCCCATTTATATAAGTAAAACTAGCCTATCACCCGTGCTATGCACGGGATAATTATAGATATTTATATTTATTTTAGATTTTTTTAATATATAAATTATGTTTTTTAAGATTTTTTATAAAAATAATTTAACAATCTTATCACTAACCATAGTGTATGGGAGAAGTTGAAAAGGGTACTGCAATAACTATACCCGGATTGTATCTATAATTATTTGTATGAGGGGATTTTAAATGCTAATTAGTGGATTTTGACAAAATCAATAAATGTAGGCATGTGGAAAGACATGTGGATTGAAAACGTTTAATAAATGCTGATCAGGAGATTTTGACCAAATCAATAAATACTGAGTTTTTTTTTAAATAAAAAATAAAAAAATTTAAAAATTCAGATTGGGATATTGAACCTCCTACAAGCCTTGGGGGTTAAAAATCTCATTTTGCTTAATATATAGTATAGAAGTATAGATATAGATATAGATAGATAGATAGATTGTAAAAAAAACCATTAAAATAGTAAATAAAAGATTAAATCACATTAAAAAAAAGAACCATTGAACAAACTACAATCACATCACATTTTTTCCATAATAAAAAAATAAATAAATGAAAAAAAGAACCATTGACTAACTACAATCACATTAAAAAAAAAAAAAGAACCATCTATACTATATATTAAGGAAAATGAGGTTTTTAACCCCAAGACCTGTGGGAGTTTCAATATCTCAATCTGAATTTTTTAAATTTTTTATTTAAAAAAAAACTCAGTATTTATTGATTTTGTCAAAATCTCATGATCAGCATTTATTAAACAAACTACAATCACATTAAAAAAAAAGAATCATTCAACTAATTATAATCACATTTTTCTCTTTGTGAGGGTTTATACTTATCTAACTTCAATCATATTAAAAAATCAAATTATAATTTTTTATTCACTAGACAAATCACAAATATTTTTATACGCTATCTAACTACAATATTAAAACAGTAAACAAAAGGAAATGTCAAGAAGGAGAAAACAAAAAGAAGACTTATTTTTTTGCATACGTGGTCACTGAAGTTAAAAGTGTAGAAGTGAGAAGTCAAGAAGGAAAAAACAAAAAGGAAACTCACTGTTTGCAATAGGTATGTGAAAAGTTAAAAAGAGTATGTGTATTGGAGAAAAAAAAAATCAAAAAAATTAAGAAATTAAGGTTCAGATATTGGAACTCCCACAAAATTTGTGGGTTAGAGATAGATATAAATAAATAGATAGATATAGATATAGATATTTATATTTGTTTTAATTTTAATTTTTTTTTAATATACAAATGATTTGTTTTGGAAAAGGTACTGCAGTAATTATGAGAGAAATCAAAAAATCTTGTGAGTTGAGAGAAGTTAATAAATGCTGAGGTTAATTTAAAAAAAAAAACAAAAAACAAAAAATTAGAAAATTAAGATTGACATATTGAAGCTCCCATAGGCCTTGGGGTTAAAAACCCCCTTTTACTTAATATATAGTATAGATAAGATTTTTAGTGAGAAGCCCTATAATCAATACCATTTTTTTTTAATTTTCTTAATTTTAAATAATTAAGAAAATCTCTATTGGTAAGTTTCCATTTAACTTTTATTGTACAATCCCATATAGACATTTTGATTTTAAAAATAATTTTGTATGAGATTTTTAAACTCTCATAATATTTAATTTTAAAATAATTACAATCTCATATCGAGAAAATAAATAAAAAGTGAGTTATTGCACTTATATAAAGTGAATCTTATACTCTCATTTATAGTACGGGTCATGCTCCGGAGCTCTAATTAGAGCTGCAACAGTGCAACTCTAATGAGCTGTCCAACCATAAAAAAAAAGTAAAAAAAAAAAAAAAAAAAAAAAAGATGCATTAGAGGTCTTTATTTAGTGGTCCAAATCATTTTTGTTATAGTACTGTTCATGTTTTAGTTCAAGATGGTTTAAATTTTAAAATAAAATTTAAAGGTTTTAATTAATTAATTTTGTTATAAATAGGTTGGTCTTTTAATTTAGCCAATTAGGCAGAATCGTTTTCAATTTGAATAATTCACTAGTTTAACCACGATTTAAGTTGTTTTATAAAAAATATATTGTTTAGATTTGTTTGATTTGAAATAAATTAAGATTGACCTTATTAAATATTGAATTTTTTTTTGGGTGAATAATTAAATATTGAATGACTGAGATTACTTGATTAGAAATGAACTTCCCGTCCAAACAACTGTTAACTTTTATTGTACAATCTCACATCAGCAAAATGAAAAAAAAATGAGTTGTTTCA